CTCAGCCTGAAGCAATCACTTCACAGGCAAAGGTGAGGTGGCCTGGCCTAGCAGCTCTTGAAGCTAAAGAAAGGCTGTTTTCTTTGCCCTGTAGCAAAAGTTGAATCTCTTCCAGACTGCCCTGCCTTTTCCTCAGGCAGATGTCTAGTCTGTTGAACTATATCCAGTTCAGTACTCAAAAAGGTTGAACATGAAAGAGGCCCTTCCATTTTACCCTCTGCCAGAGATACCCTTTAAAATCCATTTAACTCTGTAAAGTGGTACATAAAACTTGTGCAATTAGTCTCTATGCTTGGGGAAACAAAGACTCACCCTGGTAATGAGTCCCATTTCATGTCTGGACCTATCCATCAGGGCTGAGTCCAGCATGAAGCTAAATGTAGAGAAAGCCAAGTTCAAGCCTCGTACCCATATTTCCCCTCAAACCCAAACCTTAGCAGGAAAAACCATGAAGGTAGATGGGAAACATCTGAAAACCTGACTTGAGCTCACATTTGCCCATCAAGGCTACCCTTCCACCTGATTTGACCATGCACATCATCTTGTTAAAATCAAACTAAGTTTGACACTGCATCAAACTAAGTTCACTTTGTAAGTAGTCATTGGTGGGTGAGCCTCTGGAGTCTAATTTATTGTGTATCAATCTGAATTCTTTGGTACTATGCCTACAGGTGAACTTCTCAGTGTTGGAATAGGAAGGACGCCAAATACCCAGCCAGCATTAATCATCACCCCTCTGTTCATAAAGTATTCAACCCCTGAAATAGTGGGGTATTCTTTTCTGCCACTGTGATAGAAGTGCTTGCTTCCAGACCAAACACTATTTACCTCTTACAGGACTCAGCTTGAGCCTGCCCAAGAAGGCTTCATGGTGCAGATGTTCCTCCTTACCATGCTGGTCTAAATAGTCTGGAGTACTGGGCAGCATGTCCCAATAAGGGCATCTGTCCTGTCTCCTTATTGGCTGGATTTCCCCTGATGTTTTGCAATGCCTAGTAATTCCCCCTCCCGTCACCTCTTTAGGGTAAAGAGCACATAAAATGCACATATTTGTGAAAAAATACTTGCAAAATGCAATTTCTGTAAGTGAAAATTGTAATTCCAAATGTAATCCCTCATTCCCCAAAAATGTGTACATTAGCCAAAATTGCATAACTTTGTGCTTATTGGGCAAAATTGACACTAAAATATTGCTGAATTTTTGTGACAATTTGAGTGTGTGTTTTAAAAAATTGCAAACTGATGTGGAAATGCGGAGAACTAAAGAGTGAAAAAAATGAGAAATTGAGAAATTGACAGATTCACTCATTGCCAATGCCAAGTGAACCTTGTGTTTCAGAGTTAGGTATGTACTGTTATACCTGTTTTATCTTAATATTTATGAATTCATAATTGTTCCCTAAGACTAGAATAATCAGCGTGATTTCTTAAAAATCTGTGACATTAACTTTGAAAGCAGCTCTGCTGAAATGATTGTCTGTTCCTCTTTCTTTACAACCATAAATGTAGTGTGTTAATGAGCCCAACAGAATATTACAGGGATTCCATGTTACAAAGTGACCAGCAAAAAAAGAAAGAACAAAGAGAGAGAACAACCACTCAAGGACAATTTTACTTAGATAAATGAGCTGGCTGTATCCACAGCCAAGAAAACAAATGAGCAGGGAGAGAACAAAGCAAATGAGAGATAGAATAACCCCCACCCCACCCCCACAGGGCAGATCCAAGTCTGTGATAAAGGAAACAAGTAGTATATTTTAAAAGCAGAACAGTTAGAGAATGCAATACACTTTCACAGAAAACAGGAGGGGGTTTTTTGCTATGAAATAGGAAGGTGTTGGTAGCTCTGAGTTCCCTGCTAAACAGATAACATATTTTCATCACTTCAACAACAGATGGCCCTTTTCAAAACTGAATGCAAAATCTTACCTTTGTACATATGCACACGTCACAAGGAAAATGATGCGGCTTTTCTGTTACTACATAAAGCATCATGTACACTGATGGCACATTGCATTTGTGTGTTTTGAAGGGTGCTGAGCAATAATGAGAATTTTACATGTGATTCAAATGGCTGAAACATTCATGTATTCAAAGCAGTTCATGCACTTCTCTCAGCAATCTGCACCTGTAGGATAGGTCAAGATTCTTACCTTTGTATTGAAGATGGGGAGGTGGAGACTGAGGGAATGATGGACTGCTGAATGGGGGTGTGTTTCCGGCAAGGCTGGAACTGTGGATGAGGGTTTTCTCGACTTGGAGCATAACTGCTTAGTTTATTTTTGGGTTGCTATTTTGTTAATGTTGTTAATGTTGTTTTATAGATTATAAATGCCGTATTGATTTGTTAATCATATAATATGTATTTTGTTTTAATAGTGATGTTTAGCTTATTTTTTAGTTGTTGCTTTGTTAGCATTGTTTTATAGATTGTAATTGTTATACTGATGACTTGTTAATTATTCTATATGGTTTATGCTGTATTTGTGATGTTCTATTATGTTCTATCATGTTATTTTTAACCCACTTTGGGATTCATTTGAATGAAAAGCGGCATAGAAATATAGTCAATCAATCAATCAGAGTAAAAATACAGCAACCCGGCTACTCCTACTTAAGACCACAAAACAGTTTAAGAAAAGCACTCTACTACATCAGGTCTGAGTCACTCATCAACACCTACGTTGACACTGAGAAACAGCCTGCCATAGTGGTTAGAGTCTTGGTTTAGACTGGGGAGGCTCTGCCTGTAATCACCACTCAGCCTTTAAAGCCACTGGGTGACCTGAGGCCACTCAGCCTTTCTCACCGTCTCCTTGGCAGAAAGGCGGCAGAATATACAAATGATGATGATGATGTCCCTATTATTTCACATCACCTCAGTTTTCCCCACTTTGGAGTCCATTCACACATGCAGCTTATCTAATGATGAGAAGACGCCTCAATATACACATGGATGTTTGGACCAGCCTGATGTCAGTGCTTCTTTTGCCGCATTGTGCTTGCTGGACAGTGTGATATGCAGGAAATATTCTAAACTATTTCTAATGCTCAGAGTTGTTCTCACGGCATAGTTTCCCATTGTGAAGAAGCAGGAGAATTTGGGGACGTTCACCCAAAGCTCCAGTGTCACATGACTGCTGTTTATTTGTTCATAGACAGAGAGATCAGTGACTTTCAGCCTCCATTTCCACAGTGAAAAGAAAACAGCAAGGCATTGGGCAGCAGTGCTTCTGCTATGTGCCTACCTCATTTCCTGAGGTGGGGGGGAGGAGAGTTTTGTCTCTTGCAAGCCATTCATCTTCTCTGCCTCATCTCCTTGGCTAAAATATATTTCTCTGATTTCTTGCTGTGTTTTAACCAAGGGGGGCAATTCTTTCTGTCTAGCATGCTGTCCTCCACATACAGTGAACCATCAGCCACATCAGTCATTTTAGGACCAAATATTCAGGGTAAAACAATTCCCCACTCTGCACAATAGGCAAGGAAAGAGGGCTGACATGACAGAAAACATTGGCCATGCTTATCGCGGTGACCTCGTAGTAATTTTCCAGCAGTTACTACAATTATCCACTTTCTTTCACCATGTGAAATCTTTGCTACCCATGCATGGTGGGTCTAAAGTGCACTTTTCCAACTTGAGTTTTTGGCAGCTTGGAAATCTGAAAGGCAGTGGAGCACAGGATTTGAGACAGAGAAAGCTAATCAAATAATTGTTTTTGCCCATCCAACACCCTTTATTATAGTCCTTCAATGAATAGTAGAGACTGACACCATCTGCACATTTCACGGCTAATCTTGGGGTTGACATATACCTAAGCAGGAGAAAGTACTCCAAAGAAAAATGCTAGCATCCAGGTCAACACTAGAGTTGAGATTTTGTCTAAAAAGTGGATTTCAAAGTGAATTGGGTGTGCATATTCATCAGGGACAGCATTTGAAGGATTTTGAGATATGCTGAAAGAGGTTCAAAAGCATTTCTTCAGGGGGTTATGTATATCTCTAATTGGCACCCTTGTAAAGAGCTTATTGGAATTCCATAGCATGGAATTACAAGGAGACTTATGTGGAAGAGGGTAGGTAATGTATGGCAGGCAAGGGGACTTTTTCTGGAAAACTAAAACTCAAAAATCCACATTTCTAACTACATCCTTTTAGGGATTCAAAAACTGCAGGTGTTCATTGCATCAAAGAACCCCAGCTGGACGCTGAAAACCTCTGTGCAATTTTACTAAATTGTGCAATTGCCCTTTTCTTCTGCCCTATGTTCTGTGACAATGTTAAAAATATTCTGTTTTTTGAGGAAGTTTAATTCATATGCACATCCCCCCCCTTAAATGCCTCCCACTTACAGGAGCCTCTTTAAAGATATATTTTCTTTTATTCCTTTGCACTTCTAACAAAGGCTAAAGGTGTATTTTCTCAATAATCGTTAGCAACAACCTGCAAGAGAATCAAATATTCTTATTACAGATAGGGGTGAGTGGCAGCAGCAGCAGCAGCAGCGGGGTGGATGGGTGCTAAGGAGCAAGAGCCAAACATCTTCCAACATAGTAAAACATTAAGGTGAAGCCTCGCCTTCACCTTAACCCCTTGTTCTTTAAGTGTGTGCGTGTGCGCTGGTGAGGGAGAGCATTCCCATGTACTGAGTAATCAGGATGCTGCCGCACAGTTGACCCGATAGGACTATGGAACGATAGTGCTGAGCAAGGGCGATTAAATAAGCTAACTTTTTCACAATGAGTGCAAAATCATCGTCATCATCCCTAAGCTTAGGGAGCTGCTTCATACCAGATCATCTTGTTCATCTATTCCATTTTCTACACTGAAAAGCACCAGCTCTTCAGGTTCTCTGGCTCTCCTTTTCCCCATCCATCACCTTTTTCCTTTCCTCAGAGTTGATCTGGTGATCTTCTGCACGCCAAGTAAGTGCTCCAGCACTGAGCTATGATCCATCATAGAAAAGGATCGTCCCCCCACCTTTGCAGTATGAGTTCAAAATCTGGTGGCACAATGGGTTGGTGCATCTGGCTGTTAACCAGAAGGTTGGTGGTTCAAGTCCACCCAGGGGTGGTTGTGGGCAGGATTCCTGCATCGCAGGGGCTGGACTAGACGACCCTTGGGGTTCTTTCCAGCTCTTAAATTCTATGATATTATGCAACCAGAGAAGACCTTGGGGGGACATGCGGAAATCTTACCTGTACAACAGCATCCCACCTTTCACTCAAGTGAGTGCCTAAATTTTTATTGGCCCACAGTCCATTTCTTGCGCATGCACACATACACACACACACCTCTGAAGGCTTTCTACAAATGCTGAGAATAGTATTATAGACTAACCTTTCAAATGCATCCAACCATCTAATGGCCTGGATAAAGCTTATTATTGGGTGCTTATATCAAAGTGACAAGCTATCAAATTGCAGAGGCAGTAATGCTGTCAGCCTTAAACCCGAATGAGACGATTGGGCAAAGTCACTGCTCTCTTAGATAAATAGAGTCATTTTCCCTCCCCCATTGCATACTCAGGTGCAATACTTAAACTACATGCTCTGGAGGAGCCCCATTGGACCCAGAGAAACTACTGGGGGTTATGTGTTTTGAGGATTAGAGCTTCAGAAATGGAATGCTCTATCAGCTCACATTCAGAAGGGAATTGCACAATCTAAAGTGCAAGAAAACCTCTTTGATGTGCTCAAGGCTTGTTGGTAAGACATTACCTACCTGAAGCGACTAAAATATTTGCATTGTTAATGAACCTGGTTAGTCTATAAGATCAGTTTTATAAGCTACTTTAAATGAGTGATTTTCCTATACACACACACACTTTTCCACTTAATTTTCTTTTGAGAGGAAACTTGTGGGGTTTGACAGATTGAATTCAGTTTCACCAGAGGCATGCCCATGTCCCACTTCTGCCATCAGTATTGCATTGTTTTGGGTTTTGGAGTGTTCTATAAACATTTTAAATTTACTTTCTGGGGACATTCCCTGTAAACATCCTAAACCTGCGTATGAAATAGTCAAAGCCCAGAAAATGAAGGCAGAAGGTTTGGTGGAAATTTAGGCTCTAGCAGCTGTTCAGCCATGCAAACTTCAGTGGGTGGAGGAGGCAAGGCTGAGGAGGATGGTTCCCAAAGAAAAGTACAAGCTGGGAAGAAAAGATGGAACAAAATTGTGCCTCAGGGACATATGGTTAAACACGGGGCTTCCTGAGACCAAGGGGGATGCTATTGAATACAAGGCTGGAAGCAGGAGACACTCTGTGGCAAAAGGCCCAGATAGTGAGTCACAGCAGGTGCAAAATTATCTATCCCATCTCAGACTGATCAAGCTGTATTGAGGTATCCTCAGCTAATCAAAACAAGATAATAGAATTGTAGAGTTGGAAGGGACTCCAAGGGTCATCTAGTCCAACCCCCTGCAATGCAGGGAACTCAGCTAAAGCACCCATGACAGGTGACCATCCAACCTGTGCTCAAAAACCTCCAGGGAAGGAGATGCCTGGACCTCCCACTTGAGAACGGCCTGTTGACTAAATTACCTGCAGGCAGCATTAGGTGGAAGGATGATTATGTTCCAGTTAAAGGTAAAGGTACCCCTGCCCGTACGGGCCAGTCGTGTCCGACTCTAGGGTTGTGCGCTCATCTCACTCTAGAGGCCGGGGGCCGGCACTGTCCGGAGACACTTCCGGGTCACGTGGCCAGCGTGACATCGCTGCTCTGGCGAGCCAGCGCAGCACACGGAAACACCGTTTACCTTCCCACTAGAAAGCGGTCCCTATTTATCTACTTGCACCCAGAGGTGCTTTCGAACCGCTAGGTTGGCAGGCGCTGGGACCGAGCAACGGGAGCTCACCCCGCTGCGGGGATTCGAACCGCCGACCTGACGATCGGCAAGTCCTAGGCGCTGAGGTTTTACCCACAGCGCCACCCGCGTCCCAATGTTCCAGTTAGCCTAGGCTAATTAGTAACCGAGGAGAGGCATATGCTTTATTTATTTAACTTTTAAAACTGCTTCTCACTCAAGGAACTTACATTGGGGAAAAATATTCATAAATATATTATGCCATAGAAAAATCTGGGATCATATAACACATTAATATTCCATACAACAATGCTGGGAAAACAAAAATTAACTGTGATTAAAAAACATCAAACAAACAGTAAATGAAACAATACTCCCACCCACTAACAGATTAATAAATGAATAAAAGCACAACATTGACATCCACCCTAGCCCCCAAAACCATGCACATCAACCCAGTGGTGTTTTTTAAAAAAAGAATTCCCCCCACACCAGTCTGAAGTCTGGTGTCCAGGCCAGCTGCTGTCCATCAGTGGTGTATGAGTCCTCCAGGGCTGGTCCAGCATATCTCCTCTCCTCAAAAGCAGAGCAGGGGCCTCCACCTCTTCTGCCACTGTGGGTGGGTCGTGATTTAGATATGCCAAATGGTGCAGGTACATAATGATGCCTTGGTAGAATCAAGAACCTGTGCTGCTCTAAATGCCACACATACTGTGCAACCAGCTTAAGCCTTTGTTGTGTTTCTGAAGAATCCTGCACTCACACTGCATTCACTTGTAGAACAAAGCTAAAGATGTCAAGTAGTTGCAGGTTGTGTGCAGACTGCTGGCTGAACATTCCAGAAGCAGCATCTGATAAGGTCATAGAGGAAGCTTGGGGCTTCTTGTTTGTTTAAATCATCTGAGAACTTTTAAGAGAAGCAAAAAAACAAAAAACAAAAAACCCACAACCCTCTGATAAAATTAATGACATTTCTTGAAAGTTGAATAAAACTGGGGAAATGTGTTGCTCATTGTAGTGTAATAGCACCACCAAATTTTATTTTCATAACTTAAAGTACCTCTTCAACTCTGCAAATAGAAAAGGACTCTAAAATTCATACTGTCATAGAAAAAAGGTGTTTAACAGTACATATCTGGCAAGGTTTTGGCATTGTGTTGCATTTTCCAGCATTTCATCAACTTCACATTATGTAATTGGATGGACAATTTCCCTACCTGTCCTGTCTGTCAAATGATTCCACTTCTGATTCTTGATTTGGATGGGAATTAGAAATGAATAATGGATGTTCTGCTGTTTATTGACTGCCCCCGGTGTCTACTCATGTGCTCACTTCAGTTTCCCCACATTGATCCTTCTACTTTCGCTGCACCACTTTTCCACTGAATGTCACAAATGTACAAAGTTTAACAGGGAAAGATAATTGCAGAGTACATTTCATAATGGCTCTTTCCTTCACCTTTCATTGGTTCCTAAGGATAAAGCTATTGAGAGCTGTTAATGCCGTATTAAAATTGAAATCCTTCATTAACCCAGTGCCATTATTTTGAAAGGGTGAGGTAGGTCACCTAGATGGGCTCTTTTCTCCCCGAGGGGTAAAAGAGACAGTGTCCTCATATCCTTTTCCCCACTGGTGTGAAACCACAGGTTTGGAGCAGGCAAATGGCTGGTAAGAAAAAAGTTAAATAGTCAAATATCTCCCTTTCTCTGCTCAACCTGAGGCCACCTGCAGCTGCTTTGCATGGAAAAGAAAAGCCATTGTAAGGAAAGAAAAGAGCCTTGGAACTACAGATGATGTAATTTGGCTCCTACTGTTAAGATTAATGCCAATATTGACTACATCCAGGAATATAAAGACTTATCAGGACTTATCAGAATGGTGTCAATGTTCACTTGGTAGAGAGTACACACTCTTTCCATCTACCATATATTAATATTACTTATTGTCAGTGATTTTTTAAAAAAGAAAAACATGTCTTGGTACTCCCCATGAAGCTGTTACAGTAAGTGCCACACTTTTGACATGGGTTTGGGGGGATGCCGGTACTGATTATCTATTCCATTTATATCCCAAAATAATGTTACTTGTGATGTGAACATTTTGAACTGGCCCACATTTCTGATTTCAGTGAGGGGTCCTTGTGTATAGGCTCTGCATGGATCATCCATATCCCATCTTAATTTATGTGCATGGTGGAGAGGAGTGACCTGTGTCCACTTAGAATAATAGAATTGTAGAGTTGGAAGGGACCCCTAGGGTCATCTAGTCCAACCCCCTGTAATGTAGAAATCTCAACTAACGCATCCATGACAGATGACCATCCAACCTCTGCTTAAAAACGTCCCATGAAGGAGAGTCCACCACCTTCTGAGGTAGTGTGTTCACTGTTGAACAGCTGTTACAGTCAGAAGATTCTTCCAAATGGTTAGTCAGAATAGCCTTTCTTGTAATTTGAATCCATTGGTTCAGGCCCCACCCTCTGGAGTAGCAGAAAACAAGCTTGCTCCAATTCCATGTGACAGCTCCTCAGATATTTGAAGGTGGCTATCATATGTCCTCTCTGTCTTCTCTTCTCCAAGCCAGGCATACTCAACTCCTTCAACCATTCCTCATAAGACTTTTCTTCTGGACCGTTTAACCCCTTGCTTACCCTCCTCTGCACACCTGCTAGCTTGTCAAGATCCATCTTAAATTGTGGTGCCCAGAACTGGACACAGGACTCCAAGTGGGGTCTGACTAAGGTACAATACAGTGGTTATAGTACTTCCTTGGTCTGGACACTATGCTTTGGTTGATTCAGCCTAGAATTGCATCAGCTTCCCTTGCTGTAACACCACATTGTTGACTCACGTTAAGTATGTAGTCTACTAAGATCCCTAGCTCCTTTTCACATGTAGTGGTGTCAAACAATGGGCCCCTACTTTCTAAATTTTGTGAATCTGGTTATTCCTACCGAAGTGTAGAACCTACATTTGTGCCTCTTAAAATTCATTTTGTTGGTTCTGGCCAAGTTTCCCAAATTCTTAGGTCATCTTGAATCCTGATTCTGTCTTCTGAGGTATTAGCTACCCCTCCGAGTTTGGTGTCATCTGCAAATTTGATGAGCATCCCCTCTATTCTTTCATCCAAGTAATTTCTAAAGATGTTGAACAACCATGGGTGCAGGACAGAATGAACCCCATTTGTCACCACATTGACAAGGGCCCACTGGTGAACACTCTTGGTTTCAACCAGAGTCAACCAGCTTCTCCACCATGGTCATTGTCAGAATTAGACCTGACCTGAAATGGTTGGCCAAGTGGGGCAAAGTCACTACCCTGGCTCCTGCAAGTGAACCTCTGTTGCCCATGGTGAGTTTCCAGCTCAGCCCCTCCCATTTTGAGGGGCTGGCCCTGCTGGGCCTCATCGTGGCAGTGGAGAGCTCCATCAGGCCTCCCCACAGTGGCAGAGGACCTTGCTGGGTTTCCTTGCGATGGCAGAGGGCCTCCTCAGGCCTCACAGGCTCCTCCTGGTGCACATGATGTCACAGATGTGTGTCTCATGTGTGATGTCATGTGCACACAATGAACCCCCAATGTCATGTGGAACTTGGCACCTCTGCCACCGTGCAAACCTCCCTACCCACTCCTTGTAAGCAACAGTTACTAGGATTAGAAGGGACTTGAATAGGACTAGGACTAGAAAGGAGCTGAAGTTATCTCAAGAAGGACTCAGTTCTTCACATGTGTGAGCTCTTTGGGCAAGCCCATCTGCAGCATCTGGACCAGTAGGCCACCGTTTTAATTTTCCACAGTGTTCTGGAGCAATGCTGCATCGGAGGAGAAACTATACAGCAGCTCCCATCTGGCGCTGGTCAGAGCACTCCTGCTGCCCACTCCTGTCACTGTTACCGGGGTAACCCCATGGAATCCCCCGAACAATAGGGGGGATTCCACCACAGTTCTCCCTGGAGTCCAGGGTGCAAGGGGGGAGCCACGGAGAAGGAGCCACGGCTCAATTCCCAGTATCTCTGGTAGGACTGGGAGAAAGTCTGCCTTGAAACCCCCGAGAGGCTGGTCTGGCTCAGTGAAAGGCCTCTTCCCATGTTCCTCGCTGTCCAGACCACATGTGATTTTTCTTCAGGGGAATCTGATACATTTATTTGCTGCAGGATATATAGAGAACCACCACAAGTGCTGTTGAAATACTTTGTTTTTGTAATTTTGTAGCGGAGGACTAGACTCTAGAACCATTCTGTGAACTCCTCTCCTTCCCCGCTACAACCCCCCCCCCCAAAACAGAGCCCTAGATTGAACTGTCCCTCTTTGTTCGTATTTCTTAAATGTCTGGGTATACATGTCATATGCCCACAGAGAGAAATCTTTTCTCTGAGGTTGCCCTGGCCAAAAAAGATGATTATTTTGTGTGCAGCTTCATTCCAAAGGAAAGCTTTCTCGCTCTCTTTAGCCTGGAGTATAACTGGCTCCCCATTCAGGCTTGAGGAATTAAAAGATGTGCCTGAAACGGAGCACCTTTCGCACAAGCTGCTTTGGGAGCCAGTGAACCAATTTTGCCCGCCCTGATTGGTCTCTCGAGGAGCACAGCATGGCTGCAGCCATTTATAGATGCCAAAACTGTCATGACAAAAGCAATTAATATGGTAACGAGAGAGTTTAGAATCCAAAACACTGTGTCCCGAGGGGCTTGTCTCATAAGCTGTGGAAAACATTAGGAACAGTAACAATCTGCATTTTGTCTTCCAAACACAGATTTCTTCAAACCCTTATGATTATTTGTCTTTGGCATATGCAGATGCTTTGCAAAGGCAAAAGCATATGAAATTCAGGGAAGCTTTGATTTCAAGGAAGGAAACTGAACCTTCTCTGAAACTCGGGAAATGACAGACTTGACACCCAAACCACTGGGAATAGACTGAAGGGGAAAGCTATTAATTCTAGCACGTTTCTTTAAGTGGCCATCAATTTTCTGGTATCCCCAACTACAATTTGTCATTTTTAGAAATATTTGTATTGTGGGAGATTGAATGCAGGAAACTGACTTCCACTGATTTCGGCCACTAGTCCGTCTAGGCTAGGGCAGTCTCTTCTGATGGGCAGTGACACTCCAGAATCTCCGGGAGAGATAAATCCTAACTCTGTTACTTGAGTAACAGAATCGTAGAATTGTAGAGTTGGAAGGGACCACAAGGGTCATCTACTCCAGCCCCCTGCAATGCAGGAATATTTTGCCCCATGTGGGACTCGAACCCACGACCCTGAAATTAAGAGTTCCATGCTCTATCGACTGAGTTGGTAGGAACTGAATATCTCCACGCCAACGGGACCTACTGCATACAAGATACATGTTGCCTTGCTGGCCTATGGCCTCTTCTCCAAATCAAAATACTGCTGTAATGTTTCCGACGGGTGTGACTTAAAACATCCACATCACCATGTACACCTGAAGCACATAGGGTGCAGGAAAAACAGTGACCAAGCCTTCCAGTGTGTGGGACAGAAATCTGAAGCAGGCACCATGCCAGTGGCTTGGCTAGTAAGGATGCACTTCCCTCACCCTTAGTAAGGGTAGCCTTACCCAGCCTGTTGCCTTCCAGATGTTTGGACTACAACTCCCACCAGCCCCAGACAGCATGGCCAATGGACAGGAATGATGGGAGTTGTAGTGCAAAACATTGGGAAGTTTAGGGGTGTGATAATGCGGGGGGGGGGGGGGGACTAGATAGTATCAGCTGCCTCTGTGCCCAAGTTATGTATGTTTGTTTGAAGGTAATAATAAAGTCTCTGTGTGTGCGGCCTTCTCTATGTGACTGGGAACGCGGAAAAAGCATGATTTCATTTACACAGCAAGAGCTCCAAGAGTCGGCCTTTGTTCTAAGCTTCAAATGAATGCATATGAGTTGAGGACGGGGATGGCCACTGTGATCCTTTTCTCCTTCAAATACAATTCACTTCCATAGGAGTTTTCTTTTAAGGCTGTGGTCTCTGACTGATGCCTTATATATAGTTGAGGCTCTAACAGATTCCAGTCTGTTGGATCAGCATAGAGCTGGCTCATAGATTCTTCTGAGCTCTCTGCTCACGGGATCTGGGTCATTTCAAAACCAGTAGCCATGAAAGAGTGAAGGGCCCCCTTTAGTGGCGTGGTGACAGCTATCTCTGCTAACACAACTGACCAAGTACACTTAAAGAATTTGTTTGCCTGCTAGAAATGTATCTGGCTTCAACAGAAATATCTTACACTCCTTCCCTGCATTAAAATCACTATCACAGCATTAAAAAAAAGCTGGTATTAGCAAGAGAAAAAAACATTGTTTCCCTATAATGCCTGGGTCATTGCCCTGTTCTCAGTCTTCCATGGCAGTGCCCTCCATCACTCTTTGGTTCCTGCCTCCAAGGATCTATGTGATAACCATGTGGGCTTAACCAGGTATCCTGATGACAGAGGGACCTTACTCACAAGCAGGAACTAAAACACTGGGCTTTCCTTTCACACAACTACACACACAACATGGGGGGAAAGATGCAATGTCGAGGGTGAGACTAAAAGCATGACCCCTCTTGTCACACTACATACTTTTGATCTTCTTGAAGTCACATGTAATGTGTGGAAAAAACTTGGGTGTGAGCATGGCAGGATATGTTGGAAAATAGAAATCCCTGCATATAGAAGTTGTTATGAGTTTTTATGAGCATCTCATCTGGCATATGAATAGGTGGCTCATGAAAGCTGGCTCTGAAAATGTGTGGATTGGATCTGTGTATCAGCTCATGCATGGTCCTGATGGCATACATGAAGCGCATTTGCACTTGCAAATCTGCACAAGTTACAGCATCAGAGTGCCCCAAGTTGAAAATGCAGTTACACATCACCAGATATACAAATACAAATATCCAACTCCTACTTTGTCAGGGCTGCCCACACCCAGAACCAGAATCTCATGACACCTCCTTGATGGAGGAGGGTCTCGTGACAGGTGCCAGCAGTAGGTAATGAGCCCCAGCCAAAATCTGGACCAGAAGGTAAACTGTTTCAGAATCATGCTCAGGAAGAAGAATTTTTGCCTTAACTAGGGCCAGGATTTGGGCCCTACTAGTAAACCCAGACGGATGGGACAACTAGGACAACTGAAAGCATATTCTAACCCTAGTGTTGCTTAGATACTTCTCCTGCTATTCAGGGCTCAGGACTCTGTTCCTCCTGCCAATCTTGCTGGACAAGCCCTCTGTGTTTCAGCACTCTGGCTCCAAGGTCTCTTTGGACGTACCTTGGTGGCTTAGCTAGAGTGCTTCACTGCGTAGCCAAAAGACCAGAAATGGAATAGGATGAAGTCAGACACACTTGGCAAGATATATATTTTCCCTGATAATACAACTACCCTTCCCAGTTGGATGCCCTCCCATCATCCCTGCTCACAAAGCCAATGGTCAGGGATGATGGGAGCTGTGGTCCAAAACATAAGAGGGAACCAGGATAGGAAAGACTAGTATAGAGGCTAAAAATAGGTACCTCTGGATATGTAATAATAATAATAATAATAAATTTGTATTTAAATATTCATATTTCATTTTTAGCCTCAAGTGGTTCTCAACACAGCTTCCTGAAGTTTCTTCTAATGACATCACATCACATTAAAGACTAATATGTGAAACAGAAATTCTTCATGGTGACAAAATGATTGAGGCAGAGGTTCCTGTGATTTCCTTGGATCTTCCCTGATCAGCATCCTTTAATGTCACCCTTTAGACACTGCCTTCCTGCTGGTGACCTCTAAAGCAAGCTAGAGGCACTGAGAAGCAGAAACTTGCTCAGCCATTGATAGAGGCAAATCTTCCCTTGCTGGGAGCTGCCAGCGTAATTCCAATTTTTATATCACTCTTGGAGTTTTATCCTCCCCTCCTTTGCATTGTTGTTGGGTGCTGGCCTTCTTACAGCTACATCTAGAAATACATGTACCTGACTATAGATATGTGGCAACCTGTCATGGAAAAGGAGATGTAAACTTTTCATACAAATTGAAGTATGGATGCCTATTCACAGATTAGGGAAGAGGCAAATAGTAATTCACCTTTCCCTGTAGAGGATTCCAGAGGCCAAGCCAGGAGCTTTCAGAGTTGGAAGCTGGGGCTTAGCCTAGGAAACAGCTATAGAACAGAGTGACTCTTCCAAGTAAAGTCTATGCAACTAGTGAGCAGTATGAAGGCTCTGGATTGGCCAATCCTGGAATCAGCACTGGGAGAAGCCTGGTCCTCTCTCTTTGGCAGGCTAACAGAACAATGTGTTCTGCCTGCTGAGCTGTAGTTTCCTGATTCTCCAGTATGAAGTGCTGACCTTGTAGGTGCTGAACTGAAGATCTCATGGCTGCCCACAACTCTCACCACTCTGGTTCTTGTCTTTGTGATTAGGAAAGCCTACAGTCCAATCTATGCATGCTTCCTCAAAATAAATCCTGATGTATTTAGTGGGGATTACTTACAGGGACAGAGGTGGCGCTGTGGGTTAAACCACAGAGCCTAGGACTCACCGATCAGAAGGTCGGCGGTTCGAATCCCCGCGACGGGGTGAGCTCCCGTTGCTCAGTCCCTGCTCCTGCCAACCTAGCAGTTCAAAAGCACGTCAAAGTGCAAGTAGATAAATAGGTACCGCTCCGGCAGGAAGGTAAACGGCGTTTCCGTGCGCTGCTCTGGTTTGCCAGAAGCGGCTTAGTCGTGCTGGCCACATGACCCAGAAGCTGTACGCCGGCTCCCTTGGCCAATAAAGCGAGATGAGCACCACAACCCCAGAGTCGGCCACGACTGGACCTAATGGTCAGGGGTCCCTTTACCTTTACCTTTACTCACAGGAAAGTGAGCATAGGAGCATACCAATTTATGTCTAAATCCACCCCCCATCTCTTTTTCCCAGCAGGATACACCATGGATTTGCACATGTGCAAGCCCTGATCATATATGCAATCTAATCACTAGGATGATATAAATATTTTTAAAGCATTTTTTATCTTTATAGTCTACTGTAGAATAGTAATATAACCAGGAAATCATGTTAGTCTCAGGGGTAATTAGATAATTTCATAAGCAAAGGTACACTGTTTTGTGATGGGCTAGAGTAGAAGATGTTTAGGTCTCCTGGGGAAACCACTAATTATGAAGCCTTTATAACAGGTACTTAAAAATATGCTAATTGATCATTACTTTTTAATTATTTATATGAATTAGATATATGCACACTATAAACGGCTACATTTCCTGAGTCTTTGTCATGTCGTAAACATGAATGTTTGCAGAGAAGTGAAATCCACCAAAGTAATTTCCTAAAGCTGGACTGAACTTAATATCACTTCCATATTTGTAATTGGTTTTTCATGGAAGATTTGCATTAGCTAAATAGCTGTGGAATTCTCACGTCTGACATCTGAGTAGTAATATCATTTATGAAAGCAGCTCATTATTTAAGGATACTTCATAGGTGACATATTTGTTTCTCCTGTGAGAAACTGTGAGAATTATCTGTGGAGGAAGCTGTAGCATGAGGTTGCCGCAGAAAGCCATCTTGAATACAACTTATAAATCAGAGATGCAGATCCTGTGACTTTCAGGTGTTGTTAGACTACAACTTCTATCATCCCAAGCCATTGGACACGCTGCCTGGGGCAGTTCTCCATCCTTGCCAAAATTTTATGACTTTAACTAAAAAATTCTAGTCACCCATGCAGAGTGACAGTTCTCATGGAACAAGAGGTAGAGGGCATGACCACTGTGAGGAGCACAGAGAGAAGTACGCCATGAGGCATCTGCAGCAGCACAACTGAACGCCTTCAGCTGCTCCACCGGCAATAAATGAGGCCTCTCCCATATCATTCTCTACAGCAGCACCCCCAAACTTGGCCCTCCAGATGTTTTGGGACTACAATTCCCATCATCCCTGACCGCTGGCCCTGTTAGCTAGGGATGATGGGAGTTGTAGTCCCAAAACATCTGGAGGGCCGAGTTTGGGGGTGCCTGCTCTACAGCCACAGCAGGAGCTATAACTCTCCAACAGTTTGACTTCACTCACAAAAGCACAGTCCTCCATTGTCTCCCAAGACAGGAGGATGCCAACCACAACCACTTGAAAATTCACCACTCTTTCCCAGTGCACCTCGGGACTCCACAAAGAACAGGTCAACAGTTGAGGGCATACAGTGCTTTCAAAAGATGCACAAACTTACACTGGTTGAGACTTGCATGAATAGAGAGGGCCAACTGTCAAGAATGCCTCTTTTTTGCTCATGCTATTACCTGTCTGGTACCATTAAAACAGGGC